TATATTTATATTTATAGGACTACTATTATAAATATATATCTCTATCCATTGGCAAGTTTATGAATTTTTTATTTGTGTTATGAAATTTATTATATATTTTAAAGTAAATGTATGAAAATTTCATTAAATAAACAAAGAGTTTAAAACACGCACACACACACACACATATACATATACCTATATATTTTTAAGCTTGTTGAAAGCCAAAAGATAAAGAAAGTAATACACAATTAATATAATATATATCTCTTTAAAATGATGAAAAATTAAAAGATAAGAAAAATAAAAAACATAATCAATTATCACAATTAATAAATAAACATTATTTTTATTAAAATAAAAAAAATCAAAAGGTAAATAAAGCTCAAAAGATACGTTTAGCGATCACAATTAATTTAATTTTAAACAAATGAATGCTATTTTTAAAATTGTAAAAAAACTAAAAGACAAAAAACCCAAAAGAAACAATCAATTATTACACTTATTAAATAAATATTATTTTTAAAGGTGAGGAAAATGAAAAGGTAAAAAAAATTATCACAATTAATATATAAATATTATTTTTTAAAAATAAAAAGGTAAAGCAAAATGAAAAAAAAAAAAATACAGAATCAGTTTAATATATATCTCTTTAAAATGGAAACAATCAAAAGAAAAAAATTTCATTCAATCATCATAATTAATAAATATAAATTATTTTTATTATTAAGAGTGCATATTTGCCAATTAGTAACTTGGCTAAGTTTTGTCTTGATCCTTCTATAAGATTGCTGAGCCTATATATATATATATATATATATATGGTATTTGAAGATGTCAAGATTTAAGTTCTGATGATTAAAACTAAAAATTTAGCATTTAATCAATAGATTACATGGCTGCTTGCGAAAATATACCTGTTTTTATGGCTTTTTCATAACGTAAATCCATTGGTTAACTATGTTAAAGAAGCAATAAAAATCTAGCATTTAAATGAACTATATTTTTGTTTTAAAAAAAGTACTATATATTTTATAAGGATTTGAACTTGGCTAAGCCAGCAAAGTTTTTCAACAACCCTTTTCATCACATTCAAATTCAAATTCAATGATGAAAATGATGACTTGAGGCAGAAATACTTCAATAAGAGAGAAAAAGAACCGCTACAGTTTTAAAGGTACCATATTTTACAAAATAAAGCATGAAATATGAGAGGAAATGTGTTAGAAAACTGTGTGGCTTGGCAGAAGAGTGGACAATTGTTATATAACTAAGAGTAGAACAGATCCCCACATTCCCAAGAGACAAACAAGTGAACCTCAACATACTTTTATAAATAAAATCACTAACGGAAGAATAAAGCATGGAGCCGTACAGTGAGTACAGAGCGAATTATTCTTTCGCCTTTTACTAAAGAATACCGTGTGCTCACTGCTCTTAGCGGCATACGCCTATTTTTGGAAGGTTGTTCCTCGTTGAACAGCCTATCAATTTTAGTTAAAAATTTTGAAATAAACAAAATAAAATTTCATATCTTATTGAGCTGGAAGGTTGTTCCTCGTTGAACAGCCTATCAATTTTAGTTAAAAATTTTGAAATACCAAAATAAAATTTCGTATCTTATTGAGCCATTGTCACTTCTCTATGAACTTTGATTATTGTCAATGGACTATAAAATAAAGTCTCATTTTTTTTCATACAATTATGTTTCTAGTTATGGCTTCCATCGTTGTTAACTTGAAACTTATGGTACATCTCAAACAAAAGTCCCATTTGTTCAACAAGTTCAATGTCAAGGCGGTGCTTACTGCTGTTGCAGATGTGATTTAGGAAATGCTGGTATGATTTAGATTTGCAGACAGTAAGAATCTTAGTGTAGGAGTAGATGCCTGTTGGTCTATGTTCAAAGTTCATAATTGTAGCAGTTCAGACAGACTTGCTTTGAGCCTTTTGTTATGTAATTGGGGAAACTTGTTATCTATATTTATCTGGTTTAGAGTCCTTTGAAGTTTAAACCTATTTCGCGAATTCTTTTTGACTTAAACTTTCAAATTATTTCAACATTCGCAAAACAGGATTGAAACCAGCAAGTATCAAACCGAAAAGTGGTCTGGTGTTCTTGCAATTGTGTCTCTTCAATTGATATAAATAATGGGTTCTGTCCTTAACTTGTTTTGGTTTTGTAAATTAAATTTCAAGTATGTCAGTCCAATTGTATAACTGGAACCTATTTGGTTATATCAAATCCTCAAGCCATTACTTGTAACCTCATTCTTGGGGTCTAAACAATGTTTTGATTTCCTGCTATTGGAGGTAGCAGATCTCTTCAAGGAAAGATGATTGAAAAGTTTGCACAATGGATGGTGAATTTATCCTCTGCTCTTTCAGCAGGTTTCGAATCTCCCTTCCCCAAATCAAAAACGGGAAACAGAAAATGGAAAAGTTTAAAATATTAGGCCATAGTATAGCTCATAAGTAATATAAAAATTATACCACTTGTCTTATTGGTTTAATGGTTTATGCATTTACCTTAAAAAACGACATCCAATAGCTGTGATATATATTCAAATTTCAATATTCACAATCACTTATTTTAGGTTATGACCTCATTTGTAAAAAACAAAAAAAATCCCTTACAACTCATGATTGCTATATCTGTGTCCTTGGTTGCTTTAAATATAGAGCTTTGGTTGCTCTATATTATAACACTTTTTTCTCCCAATTTTTATAATATAAGGATGAGATTTGTTAGATAGAAGAAAATTACGTACATCAAAATATTTAGTTAGAATATTTATGGTTATTTTTACTTCATTTCACTATATTCTTTCATTAAACAAGGGCATTGAGTAGTAATGATTTAATTATAATAATAAATTTTTTGTTTGTAAATTTTTGCTTTTAAAAGGCACAAACATACAAAAAAAAATGTAAAAATATAATATTAAATACATATAGGGTTCATAAATCTTACGACTGAATTTATTGATTTTACTATTTTTAAATTTAATATTTTTATCAAAATAATAACTTAACTTGATTAATAAAATCAATATATTTGTTTTTTTGTACAATTATTGCTTAAAACATGGACTTCAAGGAAGAATTTAATAATAGAATTTTTATATAATTTTTTTAAAAAAGATAAAATATGCATAAAAACTATTTGAAAAAGTATTCAAACAACATATGAATTTGAATAGAAGCTAAGGGATTCAATATAACATTGATAAATCCTATAAAACTTGAAATAAATTTTTTTTTTGTTTTTTGGTATTTGAAGATGTCAAGATTTCAGTTCTGATGATTAAAATTAAAAATTTAGTACTTAATCAATAAATTACATGGCTGCTTGCTAAAATATTCATGTTTTTATGGCTTTTCCATAACCTAAATCCATTGCTTAACTATGTTAAAGAGACAACGAAAACCTAGCGTTTAAATGAACTAGATTTTTGTTTAAAAAAAGGTACCAATATTTTATAAGGATTTGAACTTGGCTAAGCTAGCAAAGAAATTTTTCAACAACTCTTTTCATTACATTCAAATTCAATGATGAAAATGATGACTTGAGGAAGAAATACTTCAATAAGGGAGAAAAAAAGCATGAAAAATGTGAGTAAATGTGTTAAAAAAGTGTGTGGCTTAGCAGAAGAGTGGACAATTGCAACAGCTAACAGTAGAACAGAACCCCACATTCCCAAGAGACAAACAAGTGAACCTTAACCTACCTCTATAAATAAAATCGCTAATCTAATGGATAGAGCACGGAGTCCTGCGGTGAGCACAAAATGAACTATTATTTTGCCATTACCGTGTGCTTGGAGTGCTGTTTCTGATTGAACGGCCTATCAATTTCAGTTAAAATTTTGAAACTCCAAATGTACAATTCGTGTTTGCTTTAGCCACTGTCATTTTGCTACGATCCTTGATTACTGCCATTGAACTAAAATAACATAAGCCGTAAAATTGAACAAAAAAGGCCCCTTTTTTTGTTTCATACAATTATCTTTCTTGTCACGGCCTCCACCATTGTCAGCTTGAAACTTATGGAACAACTCAGACAAAAAGTCCCATTTTTGTTCAACAAGTTTAATGTCAAGGCGGTACTTACTACCGTTGCAGATGTGATTTGGGAAATGCTGGTATGATTTAGATTTGCAGACAGTAAGAATCCTAGTGTAGGAGTAGATGCTTGTTGGTCTATGTTCAAAGTTCATACTTGTAGCAGTTCAGACAGACTTGCTTTGAGCCTTTTGTTATGTAATTGGGGAAACTTGTTATCTATCTTTATCTGGTTTTAGAGTCCTTCGAAGTCTAAACCTATTTAGTGAATTCTTTTTGACTTAAACTTTCAAATTATTTCATTTTTTTGCAAAACAGGATTGAAATAGCACATTTTAAACATTGAAACCAGCAAGTATCAAACTGAGAAGTGGTCTGGTGTTCTTGCAATTGTGTCTCTTCAATTGATATATATAATGGCTTCTGTTGTTAACTTGTTTTGGTTATGTAAACTAAATTTCAAGCATGTCAGCCCAATTGTATAACTGGAACCTTTTTGGTTATATCAAATATTCAAACCATTACTTATAACCTCATTCTTGGGTTCTAAACAATGTTTTGATTTCCTGCTATTGGAAGTAGCAGATCTCTTCAAGTAAAGATGATTGAAATGCTTGCACAATGGTTGGTGAATTTATCCTCTGCTCTTTGAGCAGCTTTCCAATCTCCCTTCCCCAAATTGAAATCAGGAAAAAGAAAATAGAAAATTTAAAAATATTAGTCTATAGTATAACTTATAAGTAATCTAAAAATTATACTTGTCGTGTTAATTAGTTTAATGGTTCATGCATTTGCCTTAAAAGATGGTATCCAGTACTCACAATCACTTACTTATCCGAGGTTGTGACCTCGTTTGTTTGTATGAAAAAGAAATATAGGAGACTTGGAAGTAGGGGAAAGAATCCCTTGCAAACTCATGGATGCTCTATATTTGTCCTTTGTTGCTTTAAATATAGAGCATAAACTCCGCAAATTTTAACAAGACAGTAATTGTAGTAAAGATCTCTGAAAGTCCTTACAACAGTGGTCCTGTAATGGCTCCCACCACTGTTAGCTTGAAGCTTCTGGTTGACTCAACAAGCCAAAGGGTTCTGCTTGCTGAAGCTGGGAAAGATTTTGTTGATTTTCTGTTCAATATTCTGCCATTGCCTCTAGGCACTGTCATAGGGCTTCTCACCAAACAAGACATGGTCGGTTGCCTTGGAAACCTTTACGAGAGCCTTGAAAATCTGAGCGACACTTACCTGCAGTCAATGGCGAATAAAGACACCCTTTTGAAGCCTAAAGTTTCCAACTATGCTGCAAATTTACCATCCTTGTTGCCAAACATTCAATCGCTAACATCCACCAACATTTATAACTGTGGCAATAGTTACCATCGTAGAGGCTGTGGTATCTATGTGGCAAATGATTCGAACTCCATTTGTCTTTCCTGCAACAATATTATGAGCCAAATCGCAACCGTTGTCAATCCACCAACGAAGAAGGCTTCATCATGTGATGAAGGAGGTTATGTCAAAGGGGTTATTACTTACATGATCATGGATGATCTGGTTGTAAGGCCTATGTCAACTATTTCTTGTATCACTTTACTCAAGAAGTTCAATATCAAGGATGTAGGGGTTCTTGAAGAGAAAGTGATTGATATAGGGGCGGATGAGGTAAGAAATTACCTCATTTCTTTTGTTGCCTTAATTTTAAGTAGGGTTAATGTCTTGAATGCCTTACTAACTATGAACTATGGTAAAATATTTAATACGTTAGCTCAACTTTGAAAATCTCTAATATAATATATGAATTATAAATTTGTTAACTAATATAATACTCATTCATTACACTCTTAAAATTATTAGTTCCCAGTGATAACATGTGATTGACAAGTAGCTTTCATTATAATTATGAAATCATTAGTGATATTATCTCTTTTTAATTAACCGAGGTGTAATTTTCCACGTGAGATTTGAAAACTTTAGGATGTGGCACACTTTCATTGATGATAAAAGATTGGCTTAAACTTGTTTTTCTGCAATAGGGTGTGAAATTGCTGAAGGCATCTTTGCAGTCCAAGACCGTTCTTACCGATGTATTTCTCGGGAAGAAGGGGGACCAAAGTGATGCTAGCAATTCTAGTGCAGTACTTTCAATCTGATTTAGGAAAAGCTGGTTGATTTTCGGTTTGCAGACAGTTTTAATAGTCTCAATGTAATAGGGGATGCTCACTGATTTCTGTTCAAATTTTAGCAGTTTGTATGAGAATTGCTCTGAGCCTTTTGTTATGTAATAATGGTGGTTTTAGAGACCTCCCATGTCAGAACCTATTTACTGCTAAAATCTTTTGGCTTATTGCAGGAGTGCGGATCGTTGATCTCAAATATAAGTTTGTTTGCTTCACATATATATATATATATATATAGCTTTCATCAAGCCTGATTCAAATATGACAGCCCAAATCTAAGACTTTTAAGTTTTAACTGGTACCTGTTTCGAAATTCGAAGCCTCAAAGGCTTTCTTATTCGTATCCTTGCCTTCATGCAATTTGAACAGATTGCTACCTTCAAAATCATTAAATGAGTTTATACACGAAAATTCTAACTTTATGCAATCAATTATTTTCCAAAATTGTTTAAATTATGAAGCTGAAATTTATGTCTATTAGTTCGTATAGTTATCTATAAAAGATGGCATTTAGTAGATTTGGAGTTTGAATCCCAATACTTTCTAACAGTCCCATTTCCTGTCTTCATGCTACAGCTTCTTTTTTTTTTTGTAAAAAAATAATTTGAACTCTGAAGCATGGAAACTAAACTATGGAATTGATAAGTATCGATAACATGGAAATTGTATAGTATCAGATTGAGAATTGGTCTAGTGTTCCTGCAATTGTATCATTAGATTGCAAATGATAGGTCATGCTCTTCGATGGATATTAAATAAAGGGTTCTTTGTTCTTGACAGACTTAATTTTGTAAATTGAACTTTCAAGAATTAATTATCATAATTAATTATTAATATTTATTTGATATGTATTATATATAATTTTATGATCATGACAAATTCATTAATTTAAAAGGTGTTTTTAAAAGTATAAGGAATTTGTTTGTCTGTGAAAATTTTAAAAATTTATTTTATGGAACAAACTCATTTGAATTTTTATACAAAATTAAAATATTAAAATGGTTCTAATGTGCGATAACAATTTTTTAATTAAAATTTTTAAACATATTTTAATTTTATCTTTTAATAATTCATGAAATTATAATAAGAATTATATTATTTCACATTATTTTTTATTTGTTTCAATTGGATAATCAAATTTAATAATTTTTTATTTGGTTCATTTATTTACAAATAATGATAAATGCTTTTGTACTATTTATTTTTTTACTTTAAAACGGTTTATTAGACTAGGTTTTTTACATCCATGCTTTATACAATTAATTTTATAGAAAAGTAATATTAGAATTTATAAAATTTTTATAATTATAAGATTTTATATTATATCATCAATATCATATTTATTTCTCTTTTTTAGTATTGTACTTAAATTTCAATATAAAAATGAAAATCTCAATAGCAAATATGAGTTAAATTGTTCCTTTTATTATGATTATGGTAATAGTTTTGAGGACTGCTAGATGAATTTAAAACTATAGAGAGTCGCTATCAAATTTGTTTATTAGGCGCAATTCGTTACTTATTAAAGCTTACATTTTCAGTAAAATTTTAAAATTAATTAAAATTTTATTAAAAATATAATTTTGGGGTCTGAAAATAATTTGGATTCGGGAGTATGAGTATGCTTAGGGAAGGATTAGTATCCCCACAATGTTTATTATGGTACCAATGTGTTATCTTTTGCTCTTGACAAAAAAAAAAAAAAAACAAGTCTTAATTTTGATATTCAAAAATAATTTCCTTAAATCGCTTTTTACTATAATTTTATCTTTTCTTATTTTCTTAAAAATTATTTCTTTTTTATTTAAAAAAAAATTGGAATCTTGTTATTGAAAAATTTTCAAAATACTCTAATACATTGGTAACACTAAAAGAAATTTTCTCACTGAAAGATTTTATAAGAATCACAACTAGGATTTCTTAAGAATCTTATCTTTGAAGGCTCTTATTTTTTAATTGAAGCAATTAATATTCACACATTGTTATACATAATCTTATTTTTTTAATCTTTTCTTTTATTATTATTATTATTATTTTCTAATTAAAAAAATAAGTAAATGATAACCTCTTTATGTTGAATTTTTTTTAAATACTTCAATACTTTAGTAGCATTTAAAAAAAATTCTCACTAGAGATCTTAAAGAATCACTACTTGAATTTTTTTAATATTTCATCCTTCGAAGTTTGCATCTATTTTTTCATAATTTAGTGATATAAATGCAATGCAAATAATGAAACATAATATTAATAAGGTATGCATCTATTATATGTGTATTTACCATTTATTTTATTTTATTTATAAATTATTTATCCTTTTTTTTAAAAAGATTTCTTTATTAATTTTTTCTTTTTTTAATTTTATGAATATTTTATAGAAAAAAGGTTTTTTATTGAAAATTTTTTGTAAATACTTCAATACATTAATAATATTTTTAAAAAATCTTATTACCTAAAACTTTTAAAAAATCACTATTTGGATTTTCTTACAATATCATGTTAGAAAATCTTTATTTTCTTTAAATATTTAATAATATAAATTCTTACAAAAATATATAATTATCTATAGTTTTTATTTCTTAAGCATTATTAATTATTTCAAAACACGCATATTTTATAAAAATATTATTGACATGAGTAATATAAAAAATATTCTAATAAAAAGTCCAAAAATATATAAAAATTATACCAAATAGAGCTTTATGCTGAAACCCAAAGTCATGTGCTTACTAGGCCAAGCTAATAGAGTCTAGCTATCAAGAAAGGATCCAAGCGGGCTAGGTTGTTGAATGGGTTAGTTCAGTACTGTTAGGCGCGGGTTGGTTTGGCGAGTCATGGGTCGAGTTGACTCGTTCTTTTATTAAACTATAAAAACTCAATTTTTTTTTCATTTCATTCCATCTTTCCTCCTTAAAAAAAAAAAAAAGCTCACTTTTAATTGTTTTAAATGCAAATCCAGCAACCCCCTTATTTGCCTAGAATCCGACCAGCCAACGTTGTCGGTTGGCATCTATTGGGTCTTAAAATTACGTTGCAGGCTCTTTTCAACCCCTTAATTACCATTCTGAGCTTAGTTTTCCTTAAAAACGCCTTAAGAAGCCTATATTTATCCTTAAAATTTTGGCCAAAACTCTATGAAACTACAAGCTTCCACCGTCTAATCCTTTTGAAACCAAAGTATATGTTTTTCTTCTCTTCATGCTCTTCATCTCTACCACTTTGAATTTCCCAAAAATCTCCTCACAATTACTCAACCACCCTATACCGTCGCCATCACTCACTGCCATCTGCCATCACTGCTCAAAAACTACCTTTTTCTCTCTATAAATTTTGTTACACCTTTGATTCCCAAAAAAGAGCCCCCTTATGCCTGAAACACTCACCCTCAGATTTTGCTTGTGTTTGCTTTTTTTTCTTATTTATACTGCCAGTCGTTATATTTTTGTGACTTTTTTTTTTGTATTTTGTGGCTTTGACTGAGGTTTCTCCCTAAGAGGAGGACTATGGTTTTGTTTGTTGTGATTTTTGATTTGTTTATTATTAGTAGTGTTAGAATAATGACTCAAATCATGTAAAAGATTTGTTTGAGATTTGTTAGATATTACTTGATGGAATTTTAAAAGAAAAAAGATTATTAATAGGCAAGTTTGTATGATTATAAATAGGTGAAGTCTCTGTAGGATTAGTCATGAGAAAAAAATGTAAGAGAGTCATAGAGTTTTATGGGTAGACACCCTATAAGACTATTAAAGATTTACGTCTTATGGGTGTGTATGTTTGTTTGTAAGTAGACTAGAAGAGACTGAGATGGTCCATATAAGTATGATGTATGGGTGCATATAGGTATATGTTTGGTTGTATTGAAAGGGTGCACATGGATATTTATTTGTTTGAGTTGAAAATACTTCATAAGACTAGAAGATATTGAAAGGGTCTATAGGTATTGATTGTTGAGTAATTGATATATTTTGATATATGTTTGTAATTCTCTACAACTAGTGAATCTTGTTTTTCATCTGTGGACATAAGTCAGTTAGACTGAACTACGTTAAATTATTGTCTCTTATGTGATTGATTAATTATTTGATTTTATTTTTGTTGGCTTGATGGGATTGAGGCTTTTTGGCCTAACAAGTGATATCAGAGCTATGGTGATCTCTAACAAAAGGTATCAGAGTTGAAAGTTTGAGACGTGAAAAGAGATAGAGGTTCGAGACATGAAAAGAGGTAAGCTTAGAGAAGCTCGATTCAAGGAAAAAGTTTAAGTTTGTATTTTAAAGATCAATTTACATGAAGCTTAAAGGCACACAAAAAAAAAGATGATTGTGAGATTTTCATTATAGGTGGAGCCAAGTATGTCTAGCATGAAGACAGATGATTAATAGAATTTGAGTCAAGGTGGAGATTATTAGGAATAATGACTCAAATCCCATAAGAGATTTGTTTGGAATTTGTTTGAGATTTGTTAGATATTGCTTGATGGACAAAAAAACTTACAGCAGAAGAATTCTAAAAGGAAAAAAAATTTTAATAGGCAAGTTTGACTTATAGAAGAAGAATTTTAAGAGGAAAGAGATTTTTAATAGACAAGTTTGTATGGTTATAAATAGGTGAAGTCTTTACAAGGTTAGGCATGAGAAAAAGATGTAAAAAAGTTGTAAGATTTTATGGGTAAACACCTCATAAGAATACTAAATATTTACATTTTATGGATGTGTATATTTATTTATGAGTGGACTATAGAAGACTGAGATGGTCCATATAGGTATGATGTATGGGTGCATATGGATATGTGTTTGGTTGTATTAAAAGGGTGCATATGGGTATCTATTTGTTTAGGTTGAGAATACTCCATAAGACTAAAAGAGATTGAAAGGGTCTATGAGTATTGATTGTTGAGTGGTTGATATGTTTTGATGTATGTTTGTAATTCTCTACAACTAGTGGATCTTGTTTCTCATCCCCAGACGTAGGTTAGTTGGATTGAACCACGTTGAATTGTTATCTCTTGTGTAATTGATTGATTATTTAATTTTACTTTCGTTGGCTTGATAAGATTGAGACCTTTTAGCCTAATAAGTGGTATCAGAGCTGTGGTGATCTCCAACAAGTGGTATTAGAGTCGAAAGATCGAGATGTGGAAAGAGATAGAGGTTTAAAACATGAAAAGAGCATGCTTAGAGGAACTTGATTCAAAGAAGATTTGTTTGGGATTTGTTTGAGATTTGTTTAAAATTTGTTAGATATTGCTTGATGGATAATAAAACTTGCAAAAAAATTTTTTTTTTTAAAATATTCTTAATAGGCAAGTTTGGCTTGCAGAAAAAGAATTCTAAGAGGAAAGAGATTCTTAATAGGCAAGTTTGTATAGTTATAAATAGGTGAAGTCTTTGCAAGGTTAGGCATGAGAAAAAGATGTAAGAGAGTTGTAAGATTTTATGGGTAAACACCCCATAAGACTACTAAAGATTTATGTCTTATGCGTGTGTATGTTTGTTTA